TGTGCAGATGGAAGACAGATAAATAGACAAACACTGCAGGTTCAGCAGTTTGCTTGGAATCCTCAGTCCTGGAGGATTAAGATAGGCACACAGAAATATGTCCAAGCTGGTCTCTATTCTTATAAAAACTACAAGTGAAGCTTAGAGGATATTTTAATGTTAGCATTTCATTTGCACCAACAAAGAAAATTGTCAGTTCATTTAAGAAGTACCTTTTTTTAAAAAGAAAGACCTGCTGCTTATTTATTCTAAATGTCCTTCAAACGCTCTGTTTTGTTTTCACTGGGGGCAGCTTTAGGTTAAAAACAATAACAACAAAAACCCACTGCGGCCAAAGGGTATGAGGCATGAATAAGAGACCGTAGAAGAAAAGATTTGGGCAGATCTTCTCTTTAGTCATTTCAGATGCATGGGGAAGCCTACTTTTAAAACCAAATAATCATTTAAATTTAAATAAGTCACTTTGGGGCACATGAATCACTTTTAAAAGAAATTTGAGAATAATCACTACGACGTTTGTAAAATATTTTCTGCTTTGAAATGGTTAACTTCTCTGCTCTAGAGACCAAGGGGTCCTTCCTTAGTAATTCATCATTCTCATTGGCTTCATGGAGAATTTTGTAGATTACTGAGATTTAACGAGCCCTGAACATTTTTCTGTGGGCTGCCTTACCCTTTGCTCAGTTTATATGATTCATTATTATATTACTTGGTCTAGAGCTCCAAGATATTTCTGTTACTTGGCTACCATTCTATGAATTTCACATAATGCAAATTATCATTTTAGTGAAACTTACATATGCATCTCACATAAATACTAAAGGGAACTTTTTTAAAAACATTTTTAAGGTATCTGGTTAGAATGCTATGGAATGTGTCAGCTAAATCCTCAATTCAGAGCAATTATTTTTTCTTCCTCCAAATATATATGTATTCTAGTTAGCTTAGTTATGCATTTAAAATCCATTACACATTTATTGAATACTTTTTATGTGCCAGGTACTGTTGACAATGGCTCATTCTTTATGCTGAGGTATCTGAGTCTGAAGAGGACAAAAGGAGTACATAAAATATACTATACCTCAATATGATTTAAAAAAATAGAGTTCTATGTAAAATAACATAAGACCACTGAGAAACTGAGCAGTCCCAAAGCAGGGAACCTGGAAGCCTTCATGGGAATAGAAAACTTTCGCCTGGGTCTATGAGGATATAGAGTTTAGTCAGGTAATGAATGAATGAATGGATGGATGAGTTGGTGAATGGATGATATGTTTGATGAGACACCTGACGAGACAATCATCGGCATATGCTATGTCTTAGGCAGCCTGGGGAAAGTTTCCCAGACAAAAGGGAACATTGTTGGCAAATACAGGGATACATGAGAAAACATGGCAAGCTGTGGGAATGTCAGTGTTCAGGTGACTTGGTTTCCTACAGAGGAAGATACAAGGAAATGAAGTGGAAAGTCAAGTTGATACCACTGTGTGACCCATCATGTTAAGAAGTTTGCACTTTACCATGGAAGAAACAGAAAGGCAATTTGGATTTGTAGGGAGGGAATATCAAATATTCACTTATATCAGTTGAGCACCTGGTAGACGCCAGGTACTGTTGCAGACTCACCGTCCACAGCTGTGAAGATGCAGGTAAGAACCCCTGCTTTCACGTGGCTTATAATCTAATGGAGAGTAACAGAAAATAAGAAAACTATACAGAACGTAGGAGAGAAGTTCTAGGGAGAGAAATAAAAAAGAAAAAGGAATATGCTTTGGAGAAATTCCTCAATAGAAGAGATTAGAGTGACACTGAAGATAGGGCCACAAATCTAGACTCTGTGACAAGCATAGATAGCAGATATGACGAATCTACAAAGAGAAATTATACAACAAGAATGAAGAGAGGGTGGATTCCAAAGAATCAACAGGACTGCACTGTGCATCATCATGGGTTGAAAAAAATATTGAAGAATAAAGATCAAGCTGAGTTTTCTCATCAGTTCCTGAGTCATCATCAGGAAAGGAGAATAAAGAATGTGGGTTTAGTCATATAATTTCATTATAGTCATTTGTTGTTTGATTTCTCTTAGACCCAATGGAGAATGTTGTCTCCATTCTTTGAAATTAAATAGATTCAATTGCCTGAGATGGTTCATGGTATATATAGCCAACAACATCAGAGCAACTGGGAAATGGTTTCTTGTCATCTGAATGAACGTCCAGGGGTTTTAATGAGTTATCTTGGGAGAAAACATTTGGAGTCTTCCCATAGTTTTTCTAATTATATTGTGAGCCCTAGAGTCAGATACATGTGCTACCAGAAGACACATTCTTCGTCCTGTCTCAGTTCCATAAGCTAAGTGAGCACTAAAATCCGGTGGCACAACATGGGCCGAGGAGCAAGGCTGCCCCATCACTATCCCGGTCATCCTGGGCAAACCGCTGTTCTTCACTTTCGTCCTCTGGTAATGGAAGTAATAATGGTATCTTCTTCATAGGACTCTTGTGTAGATTAAATTAAGTACTTTACACCAAGTTCACGGCACCATGGCTCCCAGCGAGTTCTTGGAGATTGATAAATGACCCTATTATCATCTGTATGATCTGGGGTTTGATGGGATTGCTTTTGGGGATTCAGTGTCCATTGCCGGGCTCCATTTATTAGAATGGGAAAAGATCGAGATGCGTGCAGACACATTCCACTCGACTCACACGGTGCTGGTCTTTTCTGAGTCTCCTTGGTGACTCTCAATGCGCCAGGCCACCTGTATTGTCTGGCATCGGTGCCTGTTGCTGCAGTCCTGGCTGCCGCATTACGACAACTCCATCCTGGTGTGGGCGAGCTGTGGAGACAGATGGCTTCCCGGTACAGGGTAGGGACTGTCAGTCATGAAGGGGAGGGTGAACCACTCCATGCTGGAGCATGGAGTGTGGATCAAGAGTACTCTATTTGAGTCCAGGGCCAGAAGTCAAAATGGACGAAGTCCATACAGATTCACTTTCTGAGAATCCTGGATCCAACTGAGAGACTACTGAGTTTTCTTTACAAAATAATCCAAGGAAACAGAAAAATCAGATGGAGACTACCTTGCTCACTGTGTCAGTCTCCTAGCCATTGTTCCATCTGAATAGACCATTGATCATTGAAGAATGACATTTCTAAAGTAAAATCCTTTCCTACCGGTGTCAAGACTGACTGCACGTATCTTCAGGTGGGAAGATACCGCCCTAAAGTGAGATCGGGGTCCACAAAGGAGACATAGAGTTGCACAAGACATAGAGTTGTCCAAGTCACTCTTGGACGAGAGTGACCACAGCTTTGGGAGATAATTCTGGACTCCAGCAGGGGTCATTTGCTCTTGAGGGACAGCAGGGTTTTATACTAACGGGAATAACAAGTCATCTTATTTCTTATACATGGAACATATCTCTGTAAGTCGGCTTTTTATTATAGTTAAATGCCGGGGATAAATCAACTTTAAAAAAGGAAAGGCTTATTCCTTTGGGAGGTTTTTCTCCAGGACCAACTGGCCCTGTTTGTCGACCTTTATGAGAGCACATGGCAGAGGCCTGTTTACCTCATGGTCAGTTGCTAATGAGAGGGTGAGGAAGGTGCCAGGTCCCCATATCCCCTTCAAGGGCATGTCCCCAATGACCTGCCTTTCTTTCACTAAGACCCACCTTTGAAAGGTCCTACCACCTCTCAATTGCACCACAGGCTGGGGACCAAACCTTCAGCAGGTGGGTCCTTGGGGACATGTAAGACCCAAATCATAGCAAGGTTTTTGCCAAATTTTCTTATATTTTGGTCATAAATTTCTCACTTTCATGCTTTTCCGTAATTCTTCCTGGGAAAAAGGAAAAGAGAAAATTCAGGAAAATCTAAATACATCTTTTTAATATGTATAGAATCATATATGGAAACTTTGTTCCAACTACTGAATCTTCATCCAGCAGCAAAATGAGTAAATGAAAGACATCTTTCGTTGTTGGGAGAGAAAAGGCAATTTCCTAATATTATATTCTTTTTCCAGGGGGTGGTATATCACCTGCTTGTTATCCATCTGTTGCTGTAAAGGAAGACCTGTCCGGAGTAAGGTGGTTTTCCAGAGGACAAGATAAGGATCTTGGGTGAAACCCAGTTAGGAAGCCTTGTGCTGTCCACAGCTGAGCTGTTTTATCCTCATTGAGTTTTATTATCCCCACCTCAGTCTTTTGTTTTTAATCCTCTTCTCTTCCACGAACATGCTCTTTATCCTGTGTGCACCTTTCCTAACATACATCATGCATCTACACAAACCCTCATTTGGCACGCACTGCAAACAGGGATTGGGGAAGACAGAAACACATCAAAAATACATTGGGCATGCGCATGGTAACAGGGACTAATAGATACTCTGCTCCTCTGCTAAGACTGTAAAAATAATCCCTGCACTTGTCCAAGTCAAGTTTCACAGTCCTGTGCCTTTATTCCATAGAACAGATGAAGGCACACACAAGAAGAGGTAGACCCACAGGTATCTGTAGGAGTTCCAGGGCTCCTTTCATCCCCCTGGAAAGTACCACAGGTATAAGCCTAAAATACAGCATTTAGGGTTATTTTCTTCCCCTGAGAGATGAGAGAAAGAGATCAGACCCACATGACACAGAGCCCCAAGAGCAAGATGAGAAAAGGAAAGAGGCAAATTTGAAGCAATGGAAACCGGCAAGGAAGGAAGCCAGTGTTTTATTGATTTTGGGACACCCTGCAGCACTCTCCAAATCAATAGAACAAACAGCTTCGGCAATTCCTTTTCTTGTGTTTATAAACGCACAGATCCTAGGGCAAGATTGGGAGGGGGGCATTAACAGTCTAGATATAACAGAAAGGACAAAATAAAATATTGCCCTTAAAAGTTGGCAAAAGTACTAACATGAAGGCTCTCTGAGGTTCTGAGTATAAATTCACCCAAGACTGCTGCTTCTGTCCCCACCCCAGCCCTTTCCCACGTTGTAAATTACCTGGTGGGTTGAGAACTTCAAGGATTCTTGGGAAACTCTCAAACTCCTAGCAGTAGCAGTTTCAAAGTGACCGAAAAAAAGTACAAATGAGGCTTATTCGGTTTGGGCATCCATTCTGAAGAACGAAGTTCAAATTCTGTAATAATGACATTAAGACATCACACCGTTAATTTCAGAAAATTATAACCAGACAGCCCACTTCCTGTGCCTCCGTGCCTGTCCTGTTACACAGCATTTCAGGACTTTTTAAAAGATGGAGAGCTGAGTATCACTTGCTCCAGAGATAACCTTTACCACTCAATCTCACACAAGCCTCTCCCTCCTCGCTGGTAGACAGATGCATCATGGAGAAGTTGGCAAGCTTCAATCGATAACTGAAGTAATGCAGGAACGACACCAGTGTGAATACTGCTGGCTTAGACATTTCCTGTTTTTCGGAAGGAACAAGAACCCACTATTCCTGTCATTTTAAAGGAAAGAAACAAGGACCATTATTTCCTTGGCTTAATATTAATATTAAATGGATGCCCGCAAAATGTTGTCAATGAGAATCTGTGTTTAAAGTGATAATATATTCTGGAATGTCAGGCCCAGCATTTTCTTAAGAAGTAGCTCTTAAAATAAGGAGTTTATGACATTTCTGAATATCCTCAAGTCTTAGGATTGGAGGCGAGGAGTTGGGGGAGTCCAAAGGGGTTGCCCACCCTGTCTTTACTGTGGCTCCTGACAAAGCAATCAATGTATGGAGATGCATTTCTCATCTGCACCATTCTCCCTGATTGGACAGAGCTCACAGACCCATCACTGTTGACTGCAGTGTAGAAGGAAGAGTGCTTGTTATTGTGAATGCTCAGCCTGCCAGGGCTAGACTCAGTCACATGCCAATGTTATTTTAATAATTTTTCAAAGTCTTAAAGGTGTATTTTTCCATGAAGGACTTTTATTTTCTATGTGGTTAGTAAACCAACCTGTTGGAGGGTGAAAAAAAAAAAAAGATTAAATTTGCCGAAGGAGCCCGTCATGTAAAATTAGGTCATCGTTTTAAAACTGACACAAAGTTGTGAGTATGTTTTTATTTATCTTTATTCCTTTTAGAAGATAACTTTTCTCAGAGATCAACACCATAAAATGTCCAAGTCAGCAATAGGTTGTTTTTTCTTCTTTCTTTTTAAAAAAATAAATTGAGTCTATTTGTATTTCAAACATGGCTGGCATGGAATATATAAACAAACCAAAATCTGCTTATTCTAACAGGACGGGCAAATAGATGGTGAAAGAGCAATAATGGATGATTTATAAGATGACCTAAGGTGCACCTGGGAGCCTTGCTATCCAAACTGTGGTCAGCAGGGCAGCAGCATGGGCATCATTGGGGAAATTTGCTAGAAATGCAGAATCTCAGGCCCTTCTTCTCAGACCTAGAGAATCATAATATTCATTTTAATGAGCTTTCCAGGTTACTTTATTTTTATATTCAATCTGGGAGAATTGGATTCTACAGTTAATTCTCTGTACAAGAAGAGCAAAAGAATTCATATAGATTATAAACTGGAGTCCTTTGCTACCCCAAAAATATCTAATGGGATATATAATGGCCAGGGGTGGAGGGATGCACATTCCTAAGTTAACCTTAACAACAACAGGCAATTTGTAGAGCACATTCTGAAAGCGTTGCCTTCCTCTTGTTCCAACTTTGCTATCTATGCAGTAGATATTAGGAGGTAATAGTTGTAACCACACGGTTGATAGACATTTACTTTTTTATTGTATGAGCATTGAAAACACAAAACTCAAGAATTTCTTGACATTATCATAAAAATCTAAGTCAGCTCAAGACCCCCGAGATAATCCGTAAATGATGCAAAGGTAGAAAAAGAAAAGAAAAATAAGATAAGGAAACAAGCTATGCTGATATAGCTCTTCAGCCAAATTTGGCTCAAAGTTTCATCAATTCTTTCCTTGAGTAGGGTCTATAAGTGAACGTCAACCACTATATTTAAACAAAAACGAATTAATACATGAATATTCATTAAGAATCCACTCTGTGTTGAGCCCAATGTTAGTCTCCATTATTTAGATATATGTATACGTAAATAAATAAATACACATCTTCTTTTAAATATCATAGCAACCCAAATGAAGAATGAATCACATTTCATTTCACTTATGAGGAAATTGTGGTTTAGAAAGGGTAAAAATCATTGTCCAAGATCACAAAGATAACAAGTAGAAAGAGCTGGGATTTTAAATTAATTTAATGTGATTCTGTAGCCTCTCCCAATCACCGTGTGATTATTGTAAAAGTGAGTTAAATAGTTAGTGAAATATACACAGTCATTATACCATTTTGATTTATTGTCAACCAAATGTTTCTTTTGTCTTTATATAGTCTTAAATTACAAGAAACAGTTCTTATATTGTTAATTATAGATATCTGAACTTGGGGGACACAAAGGAATAATTTCAGTAAGTTTCTGCACTCACTGTGAGTAGAACAGATCGATGGCTTCCATTATACCATTGTGCATGAATCAAGTTGGTTTTCAGTAGGCTGTGCCACCTTTCTTTCACAAAAGTATGATCTGTAACACAGGTTCAAAGACCCATTATAGTTCACCACATCACTATTGCTCCCCTTTTAGTCATGAAGAGTCAAAGGAATGACTTGAGGAAAATAAAGGGTGGAATCCTGGAGACTGTGGCATGTGTAACCCATGTAGAATATGTATTAGCCCTAGAAATAGATAATGATTTAAAGATGCTGAAAAGATCTGTGATGTGCATATGTGTTAGTGGGATACATACCCTGGAATCCTAAGTGAGTGTCAAACTTTTATGATAATCTTAAATGACCCATGAAGTATTTCTGGACTTCCTACTTTCACTTCAATCAGAGCAGATTACCTCTTACCTGTTTAATTTACTGGAGTTCCATGTAAAATTTGTTGTTGTTGTTCAAAGGATTCTACTGCATTTAGAAAGCTGGAGAACTGTTATGCTCTAGACTAAACTTCTCATATCATAGGTGGGGAAACAAAATGATTCAGAATGTAGGACAACTTCATGTGCATATGCTGTATGCTAGACATAATACATCTCATTTCTTTATCTGATTGGTGACTAGGAAGCCAAATCCAGTAGAGATGAATTAGCTTTCCCAGGCTGTTCAAGTAGTCGAGAGAAACTGAAGACTAGAAGACAAGATTATTATTTACCAAATTTCATACTTTTTCCAAAATGCCTATTGCTGGCATAAAGATAAGATACCTTGGTCTTATCCTAGTCCTGGATCCAACAATTGGAATGTATTTTCATATTCTGTTATATCTACACAAAGATGGCAATCCTAAGCAACAGTGTTATGGTTTGGATCTGGACTATCCCTCAAAGGCTCATGTGTTGAAGACTCAGTCCTAATGCATCAATATTCAGAGGTAGGGCTCTTGGGAAGTGATTGGATCATGAGAATTATGACCTCATCAATGAGTTGATCAGTTTGGTGGGTTCATAGCTAATGACCATTGGGAGATGGTGGAAACTGTAAGAGGTCAAGTTTACTCGGAAGAGGTGGGTCATTAGTGGTATGCCCTTGAAATATAGATCTTATTCTTGGCCCCTTTTTATATATTCATATTTTCATATTCTTCTCCTTCCCCCATCCATCTCTCTCTCTGTCTCCCTGTCCACCTCTCTCTTTCTCTTTCTTTTTCCCAGATTCTCTTCATGAGGTAAGCAACTTTGTTCTACCATGGACTTCTGCCATATGTAAAGACTTACCACAGACCCCCAAACAATGGAGCTAGTTGACCATGAACTAAAACTTCTGATACTGTGAATCAATATATATATATATATATATATATATATATATATATATTTCTTCCTTTAAGTTGTTTTTCTCAGGTATTTTGTCATTGCAAGATAAAACTGACCAACACCCCACTAATAGTTAATTGGATATTCATGCTAATCTGTTTTTCTAACATTAAATACAGATGATACATAGTATCACAGGGACCTATTTTTCCCCTTCTGGCCAAGAACATCAATTACTAGAGTGATTAGTTAGTGTTCAAACTGCCATTTTGACCCTGAAACATTTTTCTTTTATTTAAATATCTAGAGCAAAGCTATGGGATAAATGTAGAGATATACTAAGGAGCATCAAGAATAGAGTAGGAAATTTCTATTATTTCCATAGACCATTTTCTGTAAAAAAAATGACCAATAAAAAGTATTATATATCTTTTATATTATTAAGATATCAAAGACTAACAAAGTTACTTTGTTCATTCACATCACATTTGGTGAAAGAAATCTCCCTTCTGAGTAAACTCTAAATAAGGTCTTAAACTTGACCTATGAGCTTAATGTTACAATGGATTCATTTTCTTCACACTCTATTCTCTTTATTTCACTGAAATAGGGCATCTAAAACAGAAGATGTGGTAGAAAGAGAAAGTAACTTACTTGTCCACCACTTGAGATAATCATCATTAAATTCTGGATACAAGTTAATGAGGAACTGTGACCCACTCAATGTCATAGAGTGAATAGTGAACAAATTATTTACAATCTAGTAAATTCTTGGCACATTTTTTCCTTCTTTAAATCATGCCTTTCAGTTCACAGGGGTAGAGTGAAGAGAGAGGAAGAAAGAGAATCCAGAAAAAAGAAAAAGTCAAAGAGTAAGAAGAGATAGAGAGAGAGTTCTGTAGTGGATAAAATATGAACTTTACATTTAGGACTCCTTTTCTTTCAAGTTTCAGATTGAGAATCCCCTCCTCCAAAGGCCTGGGTGGTTAACTAATTTCTAATTTCTCAATTTTATCAATTTCACTAAAGACTTAGAAGTATATTTGTGAGCTGATAGGCCTTATATTCTACCCAGGGGAGAAAAGAGGAAACAGAGATAGGGGAAGGATAATGACAATCAATAAGATTTAGTAAAGTAAGCAAGCACTAGAGTTTCCTTTCCTGAAAAATAAAGCACGCTCAGCAACTAACATTCTCACTTGACCTTTCATTATGGTAACAATGACAAGGCATATTTCAATTCATAGGCACATCTGTGGTAGTAATAATCGCTGTGTCAAAGAAGAAAATAGAGAATTATAAAAAGAAAACTTCTATCCTTGATTTACTTACTTTTTATTCACATTTTTAGTAGGGAAAAAAACTATAAAAAGTAAATGAATTTGGTATCTATATACATATATAGTAATAAATATCAAAAAACGTTCATTCAAATTTATACATTTATTAACAGTTGTTCATGAGCTTTTACAACCCCCATGTGTCTGTTATTTCCTGACAGAAGCAGAGACTTTGGGAGGACTTTCATTTACTCCTCAGACATTAGAGAAACAGAGAAACATTAAATACTCCAGCAGGAAGAAACGTTTAAGGACATGTAATCCAATTTCTTTATCATCACAGATAAGATAACTAAAACCCAGGCAGTTGTATAACTTGCCTGAGGCCAGAGAGTAATCTTCAAAGTCCTGGTCCTGTTCTCTGGCCTTTGCCCTGTCTTATACCTGGGATTACATGGGTAGTAATAACCTTATAATAGATTAGCATTGAAAGAAATATTCAAGATTCTCTATTTTGCCTTTTTCTCTTCCTCAATGAGTAGCTATCTAGCTTTGCTTCAATATCTACAGTGATAATTATATTTAATATCAAAATAGTTCCGGAGCAGTTTTTCCTAATGTATTAAACATTTCTAAAGTATTTTCTAATGTTTTATTAAATATGAAGGCATTACAAAAACCAATTGACCCATTACCAAGTGGTTTTCAACCCTTTGATTAAAAGGTTAAAGAGCAGTATTAAAAACAGAAGTAAGTTAATTTAAAATGTTGTTTTACAATATTAGAAATAGTACCTTGTAGGAAATAGTAATCTCATTAAAATATGACTAATTTCCAACAGTCCCCCCTTCAAAAAAAAAAAAACAGAAGTAGTCAGGGCTGAAATTGTGGCTTAAGGATGTTCACCTAGTACATGTGAGCCACTGGGTTCAATTCTCAGCACCGTATTTTAAAAAATAATAATAAATAAAATAAAGATATTGTATTCATCTACAACTAAAAAAAATAAAAAAGAAGTAGTGAACTTTATGATTAATATTTTAATAATGGGGAATCCATTTAGGCTGCTCAGGTTTAGTACTGCTTTAAAAGGACCCTTACCAACTTTAAAGAGTTGATTTACTTCCCTAAAGAGTAACCTAGACTCTAGGGGAAAATAAACTAGATTAATAGGATTATTTAATTTCTAAGATTTTTCTTATTTCTATTCAATATTACTAGTTTCTGTTTCTCTCCTAATTGAACTAGGGAAAGAGCAATTGCCTTGGTAATAGATCAATATCTAATTTTTGAAAGTTTTCTTTTATTTTTAAGAAACTTAGGTTCTTTTAGTGGGGAAAAGCATAATGATATATAATGAAAAATACGATAACTATTCTGGCAAATTTTCTATGTGAAATTTCAACAAAATCCATCCATTATAGTAAATGACCAATAAAAATGTTCAATCAAAAACTCATTTTAAGATACATTGTTAATGAACTGTATATAATGATGCTTAATCAAACCCCGACATGATCGCATGGGAGAAAGTTCCACAGGACCTTAGGAGCACTATTGTTCTGAACAAAAGATAACAATAAAACTGTATAATTAATAGCCTGCAGTTCTGCGGCACTCTCTTGGGAAACTCAATTTCATAACAAACTCCATTGTTTTTCAGAACACAGGAATTGTGCCCTGTCGTATCACGAATGCCATCAGCAAGAAGCCCTCATTATTCAAGCTGTTTTTATTTGACATGGAGAGTTTTATGGTGATACCTGAGATACAAAATCAGTGAATGAAGCTTCTGATCACAAAAATGGGGGGCAAAGTTCCGTCTCTATTTTAAACAGTATGTTTAGAAATGAAATACTATTTGAAATATTTATTTCAAAAGAATATCTGCATCAAATAATTCTATATGGGACATTTCTCCCTTCCTAGGTGACAGTAGAGTAGTAATGGGTAACCAAGGACATTCCAAGATCCTGAGACACAGAGTCCTCAAGGTACAAATGAAAATATTCATTGAAAATTTTAGAAGACACACAGTAGACCGTGAAAGCTACTTTATTAAATCAAACACCTCGTCAGCCGTGTTGAACTTGGTTCACAGGTTAGATAAAACAACTTAGTTAAACCAACTTAAATAGTTGTCAACCTCCAGAGTGAGTTCAGTGTGTCTTCTTATTTATGATCCTGTGTCGTGTATACACATGCAGTCCATGTATGGACCACCGAAACATATTTTAATGCTGATTTTATTGACATGAAACTGAAAGAATTAGATTATTCTCACCAAGAATACATTGGAAACCATGAAGTCCATTTGTGAAGGGCACTAGTCAGCAATCAGCGTTGTAATATTTTACTGCTAAAAATGTGGGCTAATGTCATTGGCTCAAATGCCGTTATGTAGTTTATTTTTTATGAACTCAGAATTAAGAACATGGTAATGTTGATTTATAGTTTACTTTTCATAAATGTGCAAACTGAGTTTAAAAGATCTACCCCTAAGCTAAAATGTAAACTAAAATGTGCTCACATTCCTTATTTCAGCTGTATCTCTGCTCAGAATTAAGAGCGTGGTGATGCCAATGTATACTTTCAAGCCAATCGGTGTAATCTGAGTCTTGTGGAAGTTCGCATTCAACAACTATTACATAAGTCAGGTGGCTCTTTGACCCAGCTGACAGGAAAATCATAGCTGAGAAATGCAGAAACCTTTTAATTTCCCATGAAGCCTCATAAGCGATGTGGTTGCTATCCATCACAGAATGATTAGTCATGAAAACACTGACACTGGGTGTAAGTCAGCCCCTATTCAGACAGACGCTATACTGAGCTCACGAAATCCCAGACAAAGGCAATTCCAGGGACTCGGGATTGGGAAAGCACAAAACAAAACAACAACAAATAGAAAACAACTAAGAATGAGAATCTGTGAATTCCTCCAGGGAAATCTGGATATACAATCATCTATAGATAAATATCTCAAGGAAAGCACGAGACTCAAAGGGAAACAAGGAGCTGGAGCCAAACACTGGTGACCCTAAACTAGGATCAAAACTAGACAAGGAAAAAGAGAAAAGGCAAGAGCCTAGAGGTAAGGTGAACTAACAAAACCGGACTGCTACATGTCACCTTCTCATGAGCATTTCGCTACCCATAACTAAATGGATAGTGACCCCTATAAGATCCTTGTCTTGTTCTGCTTTGTGCTGCTCCAACAAAATACCTGAGACTTGATAATTTACAAAGGAGATAAATTTACTTTTCCACAGTTCTGGAAACTA